CTTAAAAAATTGCTTAATATTACATATGATACTCAAGTTAATGTAAATCTTGATAATGCTAATACAGCTTTTGATGATGATCAAGAGTTTCAAGAAGAGATTGATCTTATAGATGAACCTGAAATATTTGATGTTGAATCTGAAGCAAAACTTAACCGAATTAAGATTAATATTCCACAAGTTTGTGATGGAATGGTTGAAAATGTAAAAATTGCATTATTTAATGCTTTAAATTATTACTGGGAATATCCTATCCGTGAAGCTTTTCTTGCAACACTTCTTGATCCTAGAACCAAAAAAATGGAACTAGCAACTTATTCTCAATGACTTGAGGCTGAAGCGTATTTGATAACTAAATATGAAGCATTTAAAGAACAAGAACCAAAAAAGGAAAGCAAAGAAACTGTTAAATTAAGACAACAAAGACATAGAGCTAAAATGACACCAACACAAAAAGCAGAACAAAGAAGAAAAAATAGAGACAGAATGAGGAAAAAATATGGAGAGAAGAAACAGGAGGAAATTGAACAATTTTATGAAAAAGGACTTTGTAGTTTAGATGAACATTTTGATGAGAGGATTGAAGAGGAGGAGGATGTGGAATATGGGAGACATAGAATAGGGACAATGAACATTATTTGTGATAAATGTTTAGCTTTAAAATGGAAGGGGGAAACTAAAGGGTTTTGTTGCTTAGAAGGAAAAATCCAATTAGCACCACTTAGACCACCACCTGATTCAATATTTAAGTTACTTACTACAAAAAATCCAATTACTGAAAAACCTTATGTTGATAAAATAAGGGCATATAATCAAGTATTTGCCTTTACATCAATTTATACAACATTGGATAAAAAATATGCTAATGCTACAAAGGGGGTTTATACATATAAAATTCAGGGACAATTTTTTCATCGACATGGTTCTTTTAATGCTAAAAGTATTAGAGGAGAAGAACCTAAACCAAAAATTGCTCAAATATATTTTTATGATGGAATGGACTTTGATAAACAAATTGAAAGAAGAAATGAAAT